GGTGAAGAGATTGACATAGTTAACAGTTTTAGTTTACTTGGCTCCACAATCAACACTCTTGGTAACAGCAGCCAGGAAATCAAGAGACAAATTGCATTGGGAAAGTCAGCTGTGAGGGACCTCTCAAGAGTACTGAAGAGCAATAATGTCAGGCTGGAGACTAAGGTGTGCCCGATCTGGGCTATAGTCTTTGCAATTACGTGCTATGCATGAGAGAGTTGGACAGTGAATAGGGATGACAGAAAGAATTGATGCCTTTGAGCTGTGGTGCTGGAGAAGAGTATTGAATATACCATGGACTGCTAGGAGAACAAATAAGTTTGTCCTGGAGAAGGTGAAGCCGGAATGCTCCTTGGAGTCAAAGATTCTGGGGCTTCATCTGACATACTTTGGGCATATTGCAAGGAGGGACTGGTCTTTGGAGAGGGTCATCATGTTTGGGAGAGTGGAGGGACGGCGCAGGAGAGGAAGACCCTCAATGAGATGGATCGATTCTGTGAGTGGAGTGGTGGGAATAAGCGCGTTTGGGATGGCTAGGTTGGCACAGGATAGAGCAGTGTTTAGAGCTCTTATACATAGGTTCGCTATGAGTTGCAAGCGACTAGATGGCACACAAGAACTATGAATCTGTATTTACTTACAATAACATAACAATCACCGTCCCAGGCTTAGCAGCTGCTCACATGGGGTGGCAGCGCCCAGGAGCAAGTGCCATCAGGTGTCACCTTCCACAGCACTCTGCTCACCAGAAACGCTCAGAAATGAGTATTACTTCATCTTTTAATTTAGGAATAGAGGGGAAGGTGACAGAACCATATGCAAGGTCCCTCAGTCAGGGTCCCAGACACTGAGCTTCAGAAACTCACTACCTCCTAGGAACTGGAGCCTCTAGAAGAAACATCCATCACTCGCCTCCCATCTGAAGTCAGTCATCACAGAAAACAACCCCAGGAAGACCTGTGTGCTGCTCACATGCCCTCCTGCTGCCTCCATCCTTTCTGGGGAAGTAGGAACAGTCTATGTCTTGATGGACATCCTCCCCATCTTCTCACAATTCAAAGGTCAAAATTAAAACTTTTTCTCTCCCAGAACGCCTCCAAGCCTTCCTGGTTTGTTGGTGACACTCCATCCCAATAAAATAACAAGGTGGCCAAAATCAATATGTAAACTGACCAAGAAACATAAAAAAAAAACCCTACTGTGAAAGATTTCCAGAATGTCAACTTCTGTCACTTCATCAGCCTAGTGCTGAGACTCACTGGGCAGGGCAATGTGCTGGCACTGTGCAGGCGGGGGCCTGAGTCAACCAGACATCCTTGCCACACAGGCATGAGAATGATCCCCATTGTACAGATCAGGAAACAGAGCTTCCGGAGAGCAGTGGCTTCAGAGGTGGAGTGGGGACATGATCAGATACACAGCTGAAGGTCTGATGGTCCATTTCTGTGGTTGCTATGGACACTGGATGACAACAGTGACGCTGAGCCTTCTACTTGCTTCGTCCACCACTCCAAAATGGCAGCTGAGCCCAGATTTCTCCTTCAGCCTCGAGTTGTCCACTTCAACTACAGTTCTCACCTCCCAGCACACATCTAGGTCCAATAACTGGAGGCCAGACTCAACTCAGGACGGACAAGTGTGCACACTGCTCTTTGCAGACCCTTGGTCCTCCCATACCTCAGAGCTGCCCTCACCTGCCGGAAAATGTAGCTGGCCAGCGGCTCGTCCAGGTTGGGGTGGTGGTCGATGAAGGCAAAGAGGTCCAGCCCGGACCCGTGCTTCTCCATCACCAGCTGGAAGAATCCTTGGTTCTCGAACACGTCCAGCACCTGGTGAGACAGGTGGAGCTCAGCTCTGCTGGGACGCCTTGTGGTCAGCAGTTCTACAAGGCCCTGCTTGGCACACACAATGCTGTGCCCACCTTGATAATGTTGGCATGCTCAACCGTGGAAAGGATTGCTATCTCCAGAGTGACCTTCCCGAGCTTGGGGTCCTCGACCCAGCCGTCCTCCAGAACCTTCTCCTTCTTGATAAACTTCACCACAACCTGCAGGGAGAGCAGAGGGGGAGGGTGACAAGTCCCTGCCTGCAGCCCTGTTCAGCCTTACGGGGATGGTGCCTCCACCTTCACCCTGCCCTGGTCTCAGAGCTAGGAACGAAAAGAGGTCAGTGTGAGCCCTGCAGGACTAGAGGTGGATGAGGTCGGTGCTGGCCTGGAATGACCACAGTCATGACTGGCACAGTGGAACGTTCCAGAACACAAGTCTGAGGCAGGAGCAGGGCAACTGATGGGGACAAAAGTGCAGGCAAGGACAGGGCAGCAAGAGGGAGACTTTGGGATAGCCAATCATCTCTCAAACCAGCAGGCAAGCAAAGGTGGGGTTCGGGAGTGACTGGTGAGTGAGTGTGAGGTGCCCTCGGAGGTGGGGTCCACACAAGCCCAGAGCTGAGACAGGTGGAATGAGAGGAAGCTGGAGAAGGATGAGGAAAAGACTGGAGACCTGAGGGATCAGCATTAGGCAGCTGGAGGAGCCCTTAAGCTGGGGCCAGAGGGCACGTCAGAGATAGTGCTGCACGCCCATCAGGTGTGCCAACACAAGCCTAGAAGGACACTAAGAACAGAGTGCAGAGAGCAGGGAAGGTGGACCCAAGCATCCCAAGGAAAACCCGGTGAAAGTTCCCCGGATGCTGAGCTGTCCAACTCCTGCAAGCTCGGTTTCTGAGGAGGGGATTACTGGAGGCCAACTGCCCATTTTCTCCTACTGGGCAGCTGGTGGATTCAAACGACTGGATGTGCAGCTGCCCCGACTTATAAAGGATGAGCGGGCTCCTCTCACAAAGATGCGGTGGTGGCATTCAGTGTCTCACAGAGACCCTACAAACAGAGATCTGAACCTCACCCTGCCCTGTGCCACCTGGCCTGCTCACGCCCACTGAGTTCCTCTCGTTCACTGAGCAGCCCGACGTCTCTCCTGACAACATGCCCACAGTAAGTGAGACCACTGTCCCCACGCGTGCTGCTCAGGAACGGCCTGGCTGCACGGCCTTGGAGACAAGTGTCTGTTTTCCTTGCAGTCCCGGGACAATCAGTGCTCTTCTCCAGCACCACAGCTCAAAGGTGTCAATACCAGAATGAGAGCCACTATGATGCAGAATCTACTCGACACAGTGGGTTTGGTTTGTCTTAAACAAGCTTCGAACTTTCCTATCAAAAGTCCCACTAAGTATCAAAAGAGAGCAAAGACAAACATTACCTTACTATAACCTGCAGAGACTGCTGAATGACAACGATAAAAAACATCCACCAGAAATTTCTGCCAGGATAACCCATTTCACAACAATACTAGGTAACACTGAGTATGGGCTAAAAGGGGGGAAACCCCCATCATCACTGAGACAGGGGAACTCGCATAACCTGTGCAGTAGAAAAACCACACCCAGCATCTCCCTGGAAATAGTAAGAAAAAAGTAAGAAATGAACTTCAGAAAATGAATAAGATGAAGACTAGACTAGACCTAAACATAATAAAGACCTAACAAAGATGGAAGGATCTCTGCTGACCGAGTGGGAAGGAGCTGTGTTGCCAAGACAAAGGCATGAGATTCAAATCTATCTGCTGTGCTGAGGGAGAAAGATGAGTAATGCAATGTACAGCCTTTGAAACCCACTGGTGGGTCAGCTATGCTGTTGCTAGGAGTCGTCGAGTCGAATACAACCCACAGAGACCCCAAGAACAGATCTGAACCTGTCCCATCCTGCGCCATCTTCACATTTCCTGACACACTAGAGGCCGCTGTTGGAGTCTCTGTGTCAATCCACCTGGTTGAGGGTCTTCCTCTCCTTCCCCAAGCCTCCACCCTTCCAGCATCATGTCCCTCTCCAGGGAACAGCCTCTCCTCACAACATGCCTGAAGTATGTGAGGCAAAGTTTCACCATCCTTGCCTCCAAAGAGCAGTCTGGCTGCACCCTCTCTAACATATACCTGTTTGTTCTTTTGACCGTCCATGGGATGTTCAGTGCTCTTCAACACCACAGCAAGGGCATCAATTCTTCTGTCATTCTTAATCACTGTCCAGCTCTCAGATGCATAGCAAGTGACTGGAAAGACTATGGCCTCAATCAGATGCACCTTAGTCTTCAAACTGTCATCATTGCTCTTCAATAATTTGGAGAGTTCCCCAACTGCAGCTTTCCCCTGTGCAATATTTCTCCGGATTTCCTGACTGTTGGTACCAACGGTGTTGACTGTGGATCCAAGTAAGATGAAGCTGTTGACAATTTCAGTCTTTTCTCCATCTATCATGATGTTGCCTACTGGTCCAGTGGTAAGAATTTTTGTTTTCTTGATGTTGAGATGCAATCCATATTGAAGGCTGTATTCTTTGAGTCTCTGCAACAAATGCTTCAGGTCCTCCTCACTTTCAGCATGCAAGGCTGTGTCATCTGCATAATGCAGGTTATTGATGAGTCTTCCCCTGATCTTGATGACATGTAACAACGTAACAAAAATTGGAAAATTGATCCATTAAAAACTACAAAGAAACTAAAGATGACAAAGTAAAAGGAAAGACAGTCATAGGTCAGGAGGACTGATGGTGTTAAGGGAACAGGACTTGCTAACTGCCCTACAGATTGAATGTGGTTTCTTTCAAAATCCCAGCAGGTCCCCCCAACACTCTACTTCCCTAGAAACTGGCAATCTTAAAAAGGAGCAAAGTGAGAAGAACTGCTCTTCTCAATTATAAGACAAAGTTATAAGATACTAGTTATAAAAATCAAGCATGGGACTGGCCTAAGGACAGACATACAGATCAAAATAGAACTAAGATAAAAAGTTTTTCATCTATATGAACTGATTTTTAACCAAGACGCTGTAAGAGTTCAGTGAAAAAGGGGGGAACAGAAACAATAATATGGAATAAGGTAAGCAATAAAGAAAACTAATAAAGTAAAAGGTAGTTCTTTGGGAAAAACTGATAGACCTGGGGGGGAAAAAATCTAACCAGACTGATTGGTGGGGAAACAAATAGAAAACCTCTAAATCGTTTACTTGCAATTCTGTGTCCCTGTGGTGGTTGTTAGGTGAGACTCTGTGAACATCCGGTCTGAGCCTTGCCCCGCCCTCCACCACCCTCACAAATCTCCACTGTGTCATTCTGTCTTGTTGAGAGTCTTTCTCTGGTCCTCTCTCTTTCCCAGTTTGATGCCTTTTTCCAAGCACGAGCCCATTCCGACAAAATGCCCAAAGTGGAGCTGAAGTTTCAGCACTCTTGCCTCGAATAAGCACCCTGGCTGCGTACCCTCCTGGACCTGTTTCTTCTTCGGGCAGTCCATGGGATATTTAGTATTCTTCTCCAGCACCACAACTCAAAGGCCTTGCTGCTGCTGCTTCATCCTTCCTGACTGTCCAGATACATACAAATAGCTGAAAATACCATAGCTCGAATCAGATGGACCTTAGTCTTTAAACAGACATCCTTGCTCTTGAGCATTTTAGAGAGGTCCATGACAGATTTTCTTAAAGCAACACACTTTCAGATTTCTTCACTGCAGCTACCATGGGTATTAAATAGGGATCCACATAAAATACAATCCTTGACAACGGTAATCTCTTCTCCATCTATCAAGGTGCTGCCTATTGGTCCCGATGAGAAGATGGAGTACACACTGAAGGCTGCATTCATTGATCTTTGCAGTATTTCAAGTCTTCACATTCTGCAATCAAGACTGTGCCGTCGTCATGACACCAGCTGCTGATGAATCCTCCTCCAATCCTGATGTCACATAATCTTCCAGCTGCTTGATTTGCTTAGCAGCCTGACTGAATAGGTATGGAGAAAGGCTATAACCCAGACACAATGCTTTTATTATTTTTTCCTGATTTGTGCTATTATCTACATATAATCACTAAAAACAGAGCTCTGGGCGCATAGGCCGTCATAAGCTGTGTTGCTTATGTGGGGCCACCAGCAGCTCCAGGGGAGAAAAGATGGACAATCTCCTTCTGTGTGGTTTACAGCCTTGGAAAGCCACTGGCAGGTCAGCCTGGAGTCAGTTCTGACTCGGAGGCAGTAGCCTGAGCTGCAAGTGTAAATCACCACAGACCACCCCAACACCTTGAGTGAGCATGCAGGTAACAGAGCTGCGGGCCAGCCAGCGGCACTCCCACAGTGACAAGGAATGTTCCAGAAAGATCTCGGATGCAGGACAGAAAGAATCCCACACATTCATACAGGAAAACTAGGACAGTACCCTAGGCGATAAGGCTCACACGAATCGTTCAAATGACCCACAAACATGCAACAGCAGAACCCACAGCACTTCAGCGCCTCATGAGCCTCAGCCTCCAGGACTCCGGGCATGTAAAACAAGACGGTGCCCAGTTACCACTCCAAAAGGCGCACAACCGAGGGTGTGAGGGAGAGCAGGCGGCAGACGCAGACAGTAATGACCAACCCGATGGTGACCGCGGGAATCCTGAAGACTATGACCATGTCACCCTTCAAGCCTGGAACTAAACTCACCCTTCCCGCACAACCTGCAGCCAACGGACAGATCCGTGTGGTGCGAGGTGAGGCCATGCAGGTGTGTAATCCTAGAGCAAATAATCCCACCAGCTCGCGTGTTCAGCATCAGTGAGAGAAAATGCTCTGGAAGCAGGAAGGTGGAGGATGGAGAGAGAAGTGGAGCCACGAGCAGAGAGAGTGGGCAGAGTGATGAGATCATGTGGGGGGGTGGTCACTGTCCGAAACACTGTATGGACAAAGGAGGGCAGTGTGGGCCACTCTACAAACTCGCTTACTCCAACTACGATCAAATGTCAAAGAAGCACAGAAGAATGGGACTAAACCACAGTAAGACATCACCACTGACCCATCTGAAGGAGGACCAAGCAGGAGACCCCACTGCAGACCACCAGGAGGTGGGGAGACCCCACTGCAGACCACCA